AAGGGTCCTGAAAGGGCCCACTCAAGCTGCTGAGCTCCTGGCAGGTTGTGTGCTGGCAAGTCCGGTCCTTGAAACAAACTGCTCAGCGCATCTCAGCACTTTGGGACAGCCTGCCTGTGCCAAGGGCAAGTATGGCTGGTTCAGGCCAGTGGAACCACTTCACCATCCCAAGGCCGGTTGCGAGGCTGTTTGTGCTGATGAAAAGCAAACTGAGCCAAGGCAGGGACGGCTTTTCATCTCCCGGACTGATCTGGCTCGGTGCTCCCCCCCCCTTAATAGAAAGGGTGTAAGGTGAGGGTTTTTTGATGCCTTGTCCCGCAGGCGCCTTGAGTTTCAAGCCAGAAAAGTAGGCTTCGTAGTAGGATCGCAGAAGCCCAGTCTCAAAACAAACCTTTAACCCTAAGCCCTGTAAGCCTCTGGAGCCCGCTGTGCCCCGAATACCCGAAGGCTGCGGTTAAGGGTCCCGGGCTTCGGGCTTAGCACGACGGACAGCCAACTCTGGGGGCCCTTGGAGTGTGGGGGGGTTGAGGGTGGACCCATCTAAACCCTAAACCGTAAACCTCAACCCCCAAGCCCTAGACCCTAAACTCCAAACCCTAAACCCCAAACCCTAAACCCTATTTTTTGTTGGAAGGGGGTGAGGCGGGCGTTCGATGTTTTTGTTGGACTTGGTTGGCAGTTCGGTTCGGAGGGTGTTGGAACCCAAACAAGGGGCCACCGGGGTTTTTGGGGTTTTTGAGTTTCTTAGGGCATTTTAGGGTGTTTAGGGTTTGTGTAGTTTTGAGTTGTTTGCAAGGGGTTTTAGGTTGGTTATTTTGTGTTTTCGGGATTTCTATGAGGCATTGTTTCAAGGTTGTTGTTTTGTTTCGTTTGTTCGGTTTTGAGGGCTTTTAGAGTTTTTGTTGGTGTTGTTTAGGGTTTTTGAGGGGTTGAAAAGTTTTTCGTTTTTTTGTGCGACTTTTGAATGTTTGCTTTAGTTTTTTTCGTTCTTGTCTTTTAGTTTTTAGGTTTGCTTTTGGTTGTTTTAGCTCACGCCGCAGTTAGCGGCCCTGGGTAAAACGCTAGTTTTTGGCACTTTCTGGTGACTTGTTCCGGTTGTCTTTGGGTGGGGGGGGTGGGGGTGGGGGGGGTGGGGATAAGAACGTCATTCATATTGCGTCCATGCACAAAACACTGGTATTTACAGCGTTCTCGCCTCTTTGTACAACATACTGCACAAGGATGTGGAACAAGAAAATCTGTCACAAGCGTCCATGCCTTTCGCGACCAAAACCGTACTTGCCGTGCTTGACGTCTCTGCGCAACCCCAAAGCCCTAAACTTGAACCACTGCAAGCCCATTGCACCCTGAACACTCCAGCCCCAACAAACATGCGAGATGCTCAAAACACTGGCAGGCGTGGCACTTTTCAACATAAAAACACATCGCAGTTACCCCCTTCCACCCTGAACTGTGACAAAACACAAAACCCAAAAACGCGTAAAAAGTCGCAAAAACGCACCCCCACAGTAAGCGCTGCCAAATGCTGAAAACACTGGCAGGCGTGGTACTTTTGAGCAACACACCACCTTATAACCACTCCAAGTCCTGAAAAATAACTTCCGCCGACAAACCCCTTTTGTTTCTCAAACACTGCCCTGCGTGGGTTAAAACCACATTTCCGCGCGCAAACGGTCCAGGGCCGCTAAACGCGGCGTGACCTTGTTTCAAAGGTTTTTGGGCTTTTAGGCGGGTTTTGAGGTTTTTTTTCGTGTCTTTTCTAGGTGTTAGTTTGTTTTTTTTGTATTAAGGTTTTTTCGGGCTTTAGGGTTTTGATCATTTTTAGGGTTTAGGGTTTTTTTTAGGGATTGGAGCCTTTCAGGGTTCAGAGCCTTAAGGGTTAAGGGTTTTAGGGTTTTGGGATTTGTTAGGGTTGAGGGACGGTGGAGGGTTATTCAAGGCATAGGGATTGCAGGATTTATGGGTTTGGGTTTGGGCATTTAGATGGAGGGATTTGTGGTTTGGGGTTTGGGCTTTGTTTTGCCGTTTAGGGTTTGGGTTAGGTTGGGGCATTGATATGAAGAGGGCACAAGGCTTGTTTAAGCCCCTAAAAACGTTAAACCCCCTAAGCCCCAACATCTCGGGCTATCTGCTGTGCAGGGTTGTCCTTGTGAGAAAAACACGTCATTACTTCGGTGTGCTGCACATGGCGGCACTGCCGTGTCGTGGAGCACAGGTTTTCTCCCAAGCGTGGTTTTCCCTTGTGCCCCAATTGCAGACGGCTAGCTTGCCATGCCTTTGAAGCGTGCCAAAACCCTCAAACCATGGCACGCCGAAACCCCAAAACCCTCAAGCGCGTTGACCCCATGAGTCCCCAAAACTGCAAATCCAAAAAAAAGACCCCAGACCTTGTAAAACAACCGACCGTCCTGCAGATTCGGGCTTAGGGCTAGGGCAAGACACCCCTCCTAAAGCGTAAACCCTAAATCCCTCGAATCTTAAAGGGCTGCAACCGGACACTGGCCCTGGACGCATGAACTTCCAAAACCTCGAAGCCCCAAACCCTAAACCCTAAACACTAAACACTAAACCCTAAACCCTGAACGCTGAAACCTAAGCCCTGAGCCCTGAGCCCTGAACCCTGTACCCTGAACCCTGAACCCAAACCCAAAACCCGAAACCCTACACCCTGCACTACCCCCCCCCCCCCCAAATAAAAACAAAGGAAAAAACTCCTAAACCCTAAAACCTAAACCCTAAACCCCAAACCCTAAAACCTAAACCCTAAACCCTAAACCCTAAACCCTAAACCCTAAACCCTAAACCCCAAACCCTAAACCCTAAACCCTAAACCCTAAACCCTAAACCCTAAACCCTAAACCCTAAACCCTAAACCCTAAACCCTACGTTCAGTCTTCTGCGTTTTCTGATCAAAGAGTCTCGAGCCGACCAAGGTCTCTTTGGTTGCAGCCGCCACCTCAGCCAAGTAGGTTCGGTTTAGGGTTTGGGGTTTGGGGTTTGGGGTTTAGGGTTTAGGGTTTAGGGTTTAGGGTTTAGGGTTTAGGGTTTAGGGTTTAGGGTTTAGGGTTTAGGGTTTAGGGTTTAGGGTTTAGGGTTTAGGGTTTTAGGGTTCAGGGTTTAGGGTTTAGGGTTTAGGGTTTAGGGTTTTAGGGTTTAGGGTTCAGGGTTTAGCGCTTAGGGCTTAGGTTTTTCGGGTTTGGTGTTTCGAGTTTTTCAGTGTGTTAGGGTTTCGTCGTGCATAGGCCGGGAGCAGAAACCGCAAACTTCATTACTCTAAACCCCCAACCCCCAACCCCGAACCCCCAACCCCCAACCCCCAACCCCCAAGCCCCAACCCCCAAACGGAGTATAGCCCTTACTTTGGGACATGCCCATGTGTTCAGGCTTCAAGATTTAGTGCCCAGGGGGCATGATTCTCATTATTCTCATTATCATCGTTAGTATTCTTATCTTATGACTGTGATGCCTCTGCTTTATTGCTATTGCTGTTGTTTGTGTATATTGCCACTACTATTTTTCTAGATGATTGTTGTTGTCACTAAAATGTTTCATGCTGTTATCGCTATTGCCACTATTATGTATTGTGGGTTTGAGGTGCAGGGCGTATGTGCGGTTTCGTGTGTCGGGCTGAGGTTTGGGTCCCCCTAAACCCTAAACCCCTAAACTCCTAACCCGAAACCCTAAACCCCTAAACTCCTAACCCTAAACCTTAAACCCTAAACCCCTAAACCCCTAAACTCCTAACCCTAAACCCTAAACCCCTAAACTCCTAACCCTAAACCCCTAAACCCCTAAACCCCTAAACCCCTAAACTCCTAACCCTAAACCCTAAGCCCAGAAGGGTTCTGAGCTGTGAACCACTTGAGGGTGTGGACCACAGGTCGGAGGAAGTCTTCCGAACATTTTCTTGGGCTAGGGTTCAGGGTTTAGGGTGCAGGGTTTAGGGTTTAGGGTTTCGGGTTTAGGATGTAGGGTGTAGGGTTTAGGGTTTAGGGTTAGACGGCCTGGAAGGAAGGAAGCAAGGCAGGAAGGAAGGAAGGTTCTCCGAACCCTCTGAGGAGCTGAGCTCCCGCGAGTGGCTGCAGGACTCGTCCGAGGGGCGTCGATGTGCTCGAGGGGTTTAGGGTTTAGGGTTTAGGCTTATAGGGTTTAGGGTTGAGGGTTTAGGGGTATTGGTGCGCAGGGTGGGGGTTTAGGGTGTAGGGGTTTTGGGGGTTCAGGCTTTAGGGTGCGGGGTTCAGGGTTTGGGTTAGGGTGGAGCGAGGCTGTGAGACTGAGACCTGTTCGAGGAGTTGGGCTATGGTGGCCTCTCATGCGTCGGCCGAAGTGCCGTAGCCCAAGTTGAAATTCGTAACTCAGAGTGCGGCCCCCTTGGGGTAGTGTTTCGTGATTCCAAGTGTATTGCAGTCGCAGTTCCCTGGCCACTACTTGGTTGTTCTCTGCCCTTCTGATGACCAGGAAGTGTTTCTGAATAACGTGAGCCTGATGGTACGTTAGGGCTTTGGGGGCATTAGGGGACCCTAAACCCTAAACCCTAAACCCTAAACCCTAAACCCTAAACCCTAAACCCTAAACCCTGATAGTACCATTGGGGTTTTGGGGGGCTGTTGGGGTGCTAGGATGTCCACTGGCAGCCTTCTGGCTCAATCAGAAAGTTCAAGCCCAAGAGCCTCTCAGCACCCTGCCCTCTTCAACTGATAAAGCTATAACTTTTAGGGTTTAGGGTTTAGGGTTTAGGGTTTAGGGTTTAGGGCATATTTCAGGCATCTTCAGGCATAGGATCTAGGATTGAGGCCTTGCCATGTGGTGCCCCTGATGCTAGGTTTGAAGCACGGCCCTAAACCGCAAACCCTGAACCGTAATATAGGGGCCTTTCTACAGGGACCATAAAGGGAACACTATGTCTCCGAAACCTAACCCTAAACCCTATACCCTAAACCCTAAACCCGAAACCCTAAAACTCTAGGCACCAGTCGACAGGAAAAGGCCCTGCGATACCCATGGCTCCTTGGTCACGCGGACAACCCGAAGCTCCTTATGCCAGCTACGCTGGCCAGTCGCTGCTATCCGGCAGGCAAAGAGTTAGGGCTTAGGGTTTAGGGTTTAGGGTTCAGGGTTCAGGGTTTAGGGTGCAGGGTTTAGGGTTTAGGGTTTATAGGGTTTAGGGTACACCCCTGGACACCAAAACCCTCAGATCCTAAAGCTACAAAACTCTACGTCTAGGGCTTGGGATTTAGGGTTTTGGCCTGCCTGCTGTGGAGGGCTCGGGCTTGTGAGCGAGGGGTCTGAACAACCCAGCCGTGAAGGCGAAGCCCCTGCAAATTCCCTGAATCCCCCAAACCCCTTAATCCGTAAGAAAACCTCTGAACCCCCTAAACCCCTAAATCCCCTAAACCCGCAAACCCCTAATCCCCCAAGCCCCGGAAGACCGTAAGTCCCCAACCGGCAAAACCTTAAGGCGCACCTTTTGGTTAGGGTTTAGCGTTTAGCGTTTAGGGTTTAGGGTTTGGGGTTTGGGGTTTAGGGTTTAAGGTTTAGGGTTCAGGGATTAGGGTTTAGGGTTTAGGGTTTAGGGTTCAGGGTTTAGGGTTTAGGGTTTAGGGTTCAGGGTTTAGGGTTTAGGGTTTAAGGTTTAAGGTTTAGGGTTTAGGGTTTAAGGGTTAGGGTTTAGGGTTTAGGGTTTAGGGCCAAAGTTTAGGGTTTAGGGTTTCGGTGCAGGCAGATGGACATATGCCCTCCCGAAGTTCGAGAGGAGGTGAGCTGGGCCACGATTTTTCGGGTTTTGGGGGCCCTGGGACCCTCTTTGCCGGCAGTTTTGTAAGGGTTCTACCTACTAAATGGGGGGCATTTACTACTAAACCGTCGCTGAATAGGATCCCAGGTAGGGTTCCCTAAGCCCTACACCCTAAACCCTATAAACCCGAAACCCCTCAGAAGTAGGCGCTGCGCATAGCTGAAACCTTTCATCTCGGCGCAGAGCCCCAAACCCCCCACAGAAGCCCTGAACCAGTCCTTCCGGTAGAGTCCTGAGGCCCGGCAAGGCCACTAAACCGCAAAAGCACGTTCCGCACCCTGTCGGCTGTAGGGTGTAGGCTTTGGTTTATACGGTTTAGGGTTTATAGGGTTTATCGGGTTTATCGGGTTTATCGGGTTTGGGGTTCAGGGTTTAGGGTTTAGGGTTTAGGGTTTAGGGTTTAGGGTTTAGGGTTCAGGGTTCATACTTCACACAGGGTTCAGGGTTTAGATTCCCTGTGCTTCCCCGCGCTTTGCAAGAGGCGCCGCCCCCGATCTGGCAGGGCCCGCTGCAACACAGCGAAGGTGGGCCATGGATTGCAAGAGGGTTTAGGGTTTGGGGTTTGGGGGTTAGGGCAGTTTAGGGTTTAGGGTTTGGGGTTTGGGGTTTAGGGTTTAGGGTTTGGGGTTTGGGTTTTAGGGTTTAGGGTTTAGGGTTTGGCGTTTAGGGTTTAGCGTTTAGGGGCTGGGGTGTAGGGTAGGCCCTTTGGGGATATCTTTACAGAGTTTCCCTTACTTGGGCTTAACAGGATCATTTTTTAAAGGGCATTAAACCATGGGATGATGTAGTGGGGTGGTTTAGTGGTGGGGGTTGGGAGCACGCGGAGTGCCTACCCAAAAAAGACTTTCCGATGACCTGCTGCCAGAATCCTAAACGCTAAGCCCCAAACCCTAAGCCCTTAGCCCTAAGCCCTAAACTCTAAAGCCTAAACCCTAAACCCTAAACCCTAAAGCCTAAACCCTAGCCCCACCAGGCATGTTCAGCACCTTTGTCCATGGAGCAGAGGCCAGGGTGCCACGTTCCGGGGCCGCAAGCAAAAGGGCTGCAGGTGCTGGAATCAAGTTTAGGGTTTAGGGTTTATAGGGTTTAGGGTTTATAGCGTTTAGGGTTTATAGGGTTTAGGGTTTAGGGTTTAGGGTTTGGGGTTTATAGGGTTTAGGGTTTATAGGGTTTGGGGTTTGGGGTTTAGGGTTTAGGGTTTAGGGTTTAGGGTTTAGGGTTTAGGGTTTAGTAGGGTTTTGGCCAACTTGTGCCGTCTAGGCTGTAGAGTATAGGCCCCCCGAAGCCCTAGCCCTAAACCCTGCCCCTAGAATAAAAAAGGGGTTCAAAAACCTCTAAACTACAAAAGGGATCGTGGTCCATTTACTCTAATATCTGGCGCGTAGACTCAGGTTCCAAGGAGTGGAGATCTCGGCCACCCCCCAGTCGAAAGAGAATGTAGCCCGAGCTTGAATGGGTTTGCAGGGCTTGGCAGCCCATCTTTACCACCATGTTTTTTTGGTTCTGGGTTCCTTGAATTTTAAAAGTATCACACCAAAAAAGGATGCCCTTATTAGAATATGGTTTCTGGGCTTCTGGGACGGTTTAGGGTGTATTTGAACCACCGTCCGCAGAATGATGTAGGAGTCTGAGGCAGCGAAAAGCAGTGCAAGATCGTTCACTACGACTTCGATGCTGTTTGCCGCTGGGGCGGGCGCCTTGCTTGGATTCAGGAAGACTCGGTTTTAGGGTTTTGGGGTGTAAGGTCTGGGTCTTGTAGGGATCTCGCTGTCTTGCTCTGTATGCCTTAAGGCCTTATTCCCAAACAACGGTGTAAGCCGTCCGCCTCAAGGCTTCTGGGCATCTTCACTCGCGCCAGCATTTGCCGGATTTCTTGGTCCATGACCACCTGCTTGGGCCTGACGCTGATGCTGGCCCTAACGACAGGAGGGCTGCCCGGCGTGATCTAGGGGTCGGAATAATTGCTCATAGCATTCCCTTAAGAAGTATTCTACCAATAGCTCCCCCCAATTCTTAAGGCCCCTATGGTATGTTTGTATCACTGTCTTAGGGCTCAGGGTGTCGGGTTTATGGATGGGTCAAGATGCTAGGAGGCTTGGCGGGTGTTGCCCTAACCCCTAAACCCGAAACCCGAAACCCGGCGCGCAAGGCTGGTGGCCTGGATCAACGACGAGCGTAAGATGCTCCGCTTTGCATGGCACAAAATAGAAAATATCATTCCCTTTAATACCCTTATGAAGAAGAATATTTTCCATTTTTTGGGGGTGCTTCAGCAAATAGTAGTTACCGGTTGATTTGTTGATCCAAAAACAGGAAAACTCGGCAGCCCCTTGGGATATGTTATAGTTTCCCTTGGTGGGTGTAAGAGGACCATGTTTATGAGTGTTTTTGTCAGAGGGTTTTGAGGGAATCCTAGAATCTCACGAGCCCTAACATACTGGTAGAGGCGATGGACCTTGTCATAGGGTCACTTCTAAATTGCAGTTCCCTTTTTCGCTTCTATTCGGGCTACGCAGACATGAGAGTTGAGCCTAAACCCTAAACCCTAAACCCTGAACCCTAAACCCTTCCAGTAGAGGCAACCTTGAGACGCGGCGCCTCCTCATCTCTGCGCGAGAACGCTGGTCCCCAGCCGAGAACCTACAGAAAAAAGAAACCCAAAACCTTAAACCCTAAACCCTAAACCCTACACCCCAAACCCCAAACCCTAAACCCCAAACCCGAAACCCTAAACCCTAAACCCCCCTCCCCCCGGCTCCTCTTTCAGGATGGATACGTCCGCCATGGAGGCCCTCCAGCAGCGAGTCTTGCTCATGGTCGCTGGGCTCGGAGTTCAGGTCGCACCCCTGAGAACACCAATCCTAAGATGGGGTTTAGGGTTTAGGGTTTAGGGTTTAGGGTTTAGGGTTTAGGGTTTGCGGCGATGTTGCTCGGAGGTCCGGAATGATGGCAGAAGATACAGCTGTACTGCTGCGAGGATGAGGATGATGATGATGTTTAACCTGCTGATGATGAAACCAAACCTTAAACCCTAAAACCGACACGGCCTATGTGGCACCTGGGCACATCCCTTGGGCTATTTATTATTATTGTAATTATTATTAGTATTTCTTTTTTGGGAGGGGGGGGTTCCGAAAACAGGGTTGTAGGGGCGGCCCTATAGTAAGGGTTATCATAAGTCCCCTATTTGGGGGAATGCCCGCATTGCTAGAGCATTAGGTCGCGGAACTTGCCTGAGTTTGCATAATGTCTTTACACCTTGTGCTTGTCACGCCCTTGGGATTTCAGATTTCTTCTGCAGGCACAGCCTTGTTTGAAAAAAGGTTGATGCTGATGGTGATGATGATGTATGATTGTTGTTGCTAGTCATGCCTGTATTGTGGTTCACTTGCCAGCGATATTGGTTCTGCTATTTCGTCGTTCGTCATGCTTGTCATTCTTGGGACTATCGTCGCGGTTAGTCCTGTTTGTACATCCGCCATGCAGATTGTGTGGCGACATTTGCGGATTTCCGAAAATAGGGGTACCCTTCATAGACCCTAAAAGACTTTAATCCTTTGAAAGGAACCCCAAAAAGGGTACCCCTGTTCCCATTTGTGTTTTTGTGAGGTGTTTGCATTGCTTGCACAGTGCCGGCAGTAGCAGGCAGGAAAGGACCAGTAGGGCGGAGCCATGATTTCAGAAGCACTGCTGCAGTAGTAGTGTCATCCTCGTAGTCCTGTGGTAGTTTAGGGTTTAGGGTTTAGGGTTTAGGGTTTGCATGTTCAATCAAACAGCACTTGGTTGCAGCCACCAATCTGCGAGCGTTGTAGCCCTGATTGGGTCCCTGCCACATGTGTAACAGACCCACCCAGGCCCCCCAGAAACTGGATGGTCAGTGGCGCGTGTAGAAATGGTATGCACCAGCTCCACAAAAAGGAAGCCTACAAGGGCTCTCTAGTGCTGTGAAGCCTCAGCGTCAAGGCACAGCACTTCATCCGAGCCATGGCAAAGTCATGGCAATGTGTGGCATGGGCCTCTGCTGCGTGTGGTACCTGTGTTCTGATCGTTGGTGCCTGTTTTCTGCTCCTTCGTTTAGCGCCTGGAGCGCCAGAGGACCGAAATTGTTCGCCGGAGTCCTATTCTCGCCGCGAAATCGATGCGAGCGAGTTCGCGGATGACCTGATCAGGTCTTTCCGCATCAAGTGCAACGTCAAGTTCTTCGACATGTGCGCGAAGTATCCGCAAATCATCACGGGCAGGGTGCCCGCAGACTACGCCTCTGCAAATAACTTGCAAAATAAAATAGTGTTCACGGCCCATGGTCTTGGACCGGCCTATCCAGCCGACCAACAGGGCAGAATGACCTTTTACCTCCACGTCAGCGGAAGTCAGCGACAGATCCTGGATCCACACCAGTTGATGCCCGTCAAGCGGCTTGATGATGGCCAGTGGCACGAGGTTGAGATGGTCAAAGGCAGTACGAGTGCCTCTCTCATCGTTGATGGAGACACGGTCACATCTTCCGTAGCTGCGGGCCGTTCAGCCGCCGACTTCGTCCTAAGGCCCCTCGGGTCCATTCACATTGGCGGGCAAGGCCTCAACGGAGACATCCGGAATCTGGAGATCTACGTTGGGGATCCGGAGAGGCTGGTCTTCACGAGCGCCTGCAATGGCACGGCGCTGCCAGTGACTTGGTAGCCCATGTGGTACCCTTTTCCCCCTTTTTTTGTGTTCGTTCAGCGGGTTCCCTAAGTAAAAAGTGAGCAACCAAAAAGGGGTAATGTTGGACTCGCTTTAGTATCCAGGGCCCCCCCCCCCCCCCCCAAACAATTTTGGGGCTTTCGGAGATCCTCTAGAATCTGGGTTGGGGTCCCTTAAACCCTAAACCCTAAACCCTAAACCCTAAACCCTAAACCCTAATTCTACCCTCAGGCCCAGCTCCGGAGTGCAGGTTTTGTAGGTACCTGAGAGGCACTTGTGCCCCGAGGGCACAGACCAAACGACTTCTGACTCAGCGGAGACTCAAGAAAACTTTAGGGTTTAGGGTTTAGGGTTTAGGGTTTCTCTTTTTCAGATGACGAAGCCTTTTTTCCCCGAATCGTGAGGCCCGGCCGAGCAACATTGCAAAACTTCGGGAAAACCCTGAACAGCGCCCCACTGTACTAAACCGGGTCCAACATTACCCTCATTCTAATATGCTGGCTGGGCTACTAAGGAGAATGTCACATGTTCTGACCAGCCCCTGGATGCTTGCGAGGGCATGTACAGCATCACTGGCGGGGCAGGATCGCAATGCAGAGCAACTGAGTCCTGCCGAGCCATCCATGCTTGCGACGTTGAGTAGTCAGGGAATCCAAGTGCGAGGAGTAGCCCAAAACCTCACGGTGAATCCCCAGGCTTTTGAGCCGTGCACTTTCCAAGCAAGCAGCAGAGACACCCGGCCAAGACGGCTCGGCCGCGAAAGGTTGCTGGCGCGAGGTTTAGGGTTTAGGGTTTAGGGATTAGGGGATTAGGGGTTTAGGGGTTTAGGGTTTAGGGCTTCTGGCCCAGGATGGCTTACTTGTGCTTTTCGGGCTTAGGGTAGCTCAGACAGCTCCCCGACGAAAGTTCCGGAGACGGAATACCAAACTCCTAAATCCTAAACCCTGCTGAACCCTAGCGCTACCACGTCCCGAACTCCCTGGCTGGCAGACCCGCACAACCTCCTAACTGGGGGTTTTCTAGAGGATCTTCTTCAGGAAGATGTCTCAGAAGGTTAAGGGTTCAGAGGGTACCTACTTCCTTAAACCCTAAAAACTCTGCAGAACTCTTCAAGCTGTGCAGATTCAGGTGACCTTCATCCTCGGCTTCTTTGTGCAGCTGTGCCTCAGCAGCTCTTGGGCATGCTAGCTGACGCTACGAAGTGCTTCGTGTTGAAAGGGGACAGCGGGTTTGGGGTTTGGGGTTTGGGGCTTGGGGTTTGGGGTTTAGGGTTTGGGGTTTGGGGTTTGGGGCCTTAGGAGGCTAATGTAAGGGAAGTTCGATGTTAGCTGCAAGCATGACATCTCAGGGGCATATAACCAGATACTCTTGACAGCGCCAAGGAACATCTCCCGATGGTGGAACCATAGGCCGCCAAGTTCGGCCTCCTGAATCTAAGGGTGGCTTAGGGTTTATTGTTTAGGGTTTAGGGTTTAGGGTTTAGGGTTTAGGGTTTAGGGTTTAGGGTGGTTTAGTGGTCCCTTAAGATGGGCCTTTACCCTCTTGAAAGGGTTCTGAAGTATGGGCCCTTGGGTGTGTAGCATATGGGGTCTTTAGGGATCCATATTATTAAGGGGCCATGTAACGACACAACCCGATGAAAGCATCGGGGTGCTTAAGCTGAGCCTGGCTGTTGTCTTCACACAGGGGGGGTCTACTTAGTTGGAACGGGTGTTCTGGGCGATGCGGACCCCGGCCGATGCGATGAAACTGAAACGAGAGTGATTTGTACACTCAAGTGAGGAATAATTACGCAGCTTTGGCATCTTACAAAGTGTCGAGAATGCGCCGCAGCAAAGCTTCAATCTTCAGAAGCTTCAATCTTCAGAGATTGCTTGTGCCATACATCATCAGCAACATCAGTTGCACGAGGAACCCTGTACCCTAAACCCTAAACCCTAAACCCTAAACCCTGAACCCTAAACCCTAAACCCTAATGTTCAGGGTTCTTTGAGGGCTCCTGGCTTAGGCGCGGGCTCCGGCGCTGCCCTCAGCCCCCAAGCCCTCCACCCTTGAGCTTGAGTTCTTGCCCTAAGCCCCAACCCCTATAAACCTTAGAACCTCAACCTTAAACCCTGAACCCTAAACCCTAAACCCCAAACCCTAAACCCTAAACCCTAAACCCTAAGCTCCCAACCGGAAGTTCGACTCTCTCTGCCCTCACTGGCAGGGAGTTCCTCCGGACGTTACATGGCGCGGCACCTCGGAAGGATGACGTCCATCTCAAGGGCGGATCTTTTTGGAGCTTCTTTTGGGGGGGTTTAGGGTCAGGGTTTAGGGTTTAGGGTTTAGGGTTTAGGGTTTAGGGTTTAGGGTTTAGGGTTTAGGGTTTAGGGTTTAGGGTTTAGGGTTTAGGGTTTAGGGTTTAGGTGTTTGGCGGTGTAGGGGTTTGGCAGTTGAGGGGTTCAGGGACTGGTTTTTGATTTTGTTTAAATCATGTTTAGCCCGCTGCTCTTGCCTACCAGCATGCTTTGTGAGTTGGCATGCGCGTGAGCATTGGCCTGCTGACTTGCGCGTTCCCTACCACAGATTTTCAGAGCAGCCGAAGGTGCCAAGACCACAGCCTGTCAAGGTTTGTGTTTAGGGTTTAGGGTTTAGGATTTCGGGATTAGGGTTTCGGGTTTAGGGTTTTGGTTTTTTCGAGTTTTGGGTTTAGGGTTCCCAGCTTCTTGTCAAAGTGTCCAAACGTTATGAAGGAGAGCCCAGCAAACGAGCAACAAGGAAGCAGCTGCAACCCCGGAATTCTGCAGCCCCAAACCCTACTCCACCCTGAGCCCCCCTAAACCCTAAACCCTAAACCCTAAACCCTAAACCCTTAACCCTAAACCCTAAACCCTAAACCCTAAATTTAAACCCCAAACTCCAATTCCTAAACCCTAACCCTAAACCGCAAAGCCTTGCCAGGGCATCCTTTTGTAGGTTTGTGTCAAGTAGGGCTTTTGTGTTGGTTTGGGTGAGTCTATAGGGTTTTTGAGCGAGAGTTTGGTGAGAAGCATAGGGGCAGCGGGTAGAAGTGCCCTAGTCGAGATAAATCGCAGATGCAAGGTTTTAGACGTGCTGCTGCTGATGGCCAGCTCGGGGGCGTCGCAGGACTGACTGTCTGAACGTCATGTCGAAGGATAAAACTGATGTAGTGGCGCTCAGGGTTCCAGGGTGGCGGGATTTTCGGGCTTAGGGATTTAGAGCTGTAGGGCTTCAAGCCTTAAACCCGAAACCTTAAACCCTAAGCCCCAAGCCCTAAACCCTAAACCCTAATCCCTAACCCTAAACCCTAAACCCTAAACCCTAAACCCTAAACCCTAAACCCTCAACCCTGCAATTCGTTTAGGGTTGAGCTCGCCCATGCGGAGGAGCAGTTGGCTTGCGTGGCGAGGCTGGGCCTTCTGTCTCAAGCTCTCCTCTTTGAAGCTTGGCTGCAGGGGGGAGCTCAATACTTGCAGCCCCTAAGCCCTAAGCCCTAAGCCCTAAACCCTAAACCCTAAACCCTAAACCCTAAGCCCTAAACCCTAAGCCCTAAGCCCTAAACCCTAAACCCTAAACCCTAAACTTGCCCTAAACCCTAGACTCTAAACCCTAAACCCTCTAACTAGCACCCTAGGCCCTGAGCACTCGAACCTTGCATCTGAACACCCGAAGTCCGGCCTCGTACTGGGTTTAGGGTTGAGGGTTTAGGGTTTAGGGTTTAGGGTTTTTTCGCAAACTCGCTTGTCCCATGAATCATTTCTTTCTAGGGTTCAAGGGGCCTCCCCCAAGCATCCTCTTCCGGCTGCCAGGACGAGTGTCGCGGGACATTCGACAGCCCTCAGGCACAAGCTGGGTTTAGGGTTTAGGGTTTAGGGTTGAGGGTTGAGGGTTGAGGGTTGAGGGTTGAGGGTTGAGGGTTTTGGTACAGAAGGCAGTGTCTGTTGACCATGCCCAACTGGGCATGGTTCCCCTTCCGCAAAAGATTGTTAAAGCCAACACCCTTCTACACCCTAATGTTGACTTAGTAGCCCAGTGGTACCCTTTTCCCTTTTTTGATTATGGGTTCCCTTACAAAGTAACCACCCACCCAAAAAAAGGATGCCCTTATCATGGTATGGTTACTGGGCTACTACATTGCATGGTCTTGTCTCTGGTATTCGTCTTGGGGTGTCGGGTTTTTTTGTCTAGGGGGTCTGTGAATCCGGAAATCTTTCAAGGCTTCAAACCCTAAACCCTAGACCCTATAAACCCCAAAATCCCACCTGGGGCAGTTCTGGAAGTCATGGCCGGCTCCAAACCCCGACGCCTAAATCCTAAACAAGCCTTAAACCCGAAATCAACCCTAAACCCTAAACCCTAAACCCGAAACCCTAAACCCTAAACCCTAACCCCTAAACCGTAAACCCTAAACCCGAACCCCCCCCCCCCCCCCCCCCCCCCCCCCCCCCCTCCCCCTAATGTAGAAAAAATCTTCCAGTGACATTGCTTCATGCCAATGGCCCATCCTCCTAGAAGAGGCCCCTGCTCCCACCCTGAACCCTAAAGCCAGGTTTTAGGGTTTAGGGTTTCGGGTGCTTAGGGCAAAGCTGGAAATCTGTGGGGGGTGGTGGCATGGTGCACAAAGCTCGCAAGATCTACCAGAAATCCTGTGGAGGCGAACGACCCGACTTCGACAGGACGGGCATCATGGAATTGAGTGCTGTCAGGTTTTGTGGGACGTCCGTTATACACCCTCTCTACCTGTTTTAAACCTTGATGAAACGTTTGGGTTTGGGTTTTTGAGCGTCCTGGAGAGGCTCTAAATCAAGGCTTTATGAAGGCCCCTAGCGGAGGAATTTTCTGGAAGCAGGTGTGTAGAAGGTGCCGAGTCAAGAAAGAAAAAGGCACACATAATTCAAGTAAAAAAAGGGACTCTGATACCAGGGTTTAGGGTTTAGGGTACCAAACGCAGTGATGTAAAGGGGCCTGGCGAATCGCCGGCCCAGGCCAGTCGTGAACGGCTGTCGATTTTTGCAGGGCGTTAGGGGCTTTTAGTTTTCGAATATGCCCCCTAAACCCTAAACCCTAAACCCTAAACCCTAAACCCTAAACCCTAAACTCTGGCACCCAGGAGCCTTCGCGGGTCTCGTGCGTTTGGGCCTCTTGCGCGAGCAGGAGCACTCAGGGGTTCAGAGCTCGTGTTTAGGGTTTAGGGTTTAGGGTTTAGGGTTTAGGGTTTAGGGTTTAGGGTTTAGGGTTTAGGGTTTGGTTTGCCAAGGACAGTTCCTTAATGAGACCTCATATGTTTGCGATCATGTCCGGAAATGCAGAGGGCTACTGTCGCCGAATTTAGGCTTTTGGGTCTAGGGCTGCATGGAAGAAGGCTGCATTCTGAACGCGTGTGCTTGAAAGCTCCAGACCCTGCTCGGTTGGGCTTCACGGCCCAAACCTGTTGAGTTTGGGGTTTCTAGTCGTCAAAGGGTTCAGGATTGAAATATTTTTGCGCTGATGGGGTTGGGGATGAAAGGGCTCAGGGTTGAACGGGTCTAGGGTGCAATTTCAGGGTTTTTCAGGGTTTAGGGCTTGTGGGGTTGACTGGGCTTATAGAGGTTCAGGGTTAAATGGGCTCAGGGTCGATGGGTCTTAGCGGTTTAGGGTTTAGGGTGTAGGGTTTAGGGTTTAGGGTTTAGGGTATCGGCGTCAGGAGATTCCATACCTTGCAGGTCGTGCGCAGACTCCTGGCCTGCAACACATGTAGGGTTTAGGGTTTGGGGTTTAGGGTTTAGGGTTTAGGCTTTAGGCTTAGGGTTTAGGGTTTAGGGTTTAGGGTTTAGGGTTTAGGGTTTAGGGTTTAGGGATAATGGGGGTTTACGAAAACAGGGTGACCCCAATTTAGATCCCCAAATAGAAGGATTCCCGTATAGTTTCCTAGTAGGGTGTAGGGTTTAGGGTTTAGTGTTTGATGTTTAGGGTTTAGGGTTTAGGGTTCAGGGTTTAGGGTTTAGGGTTTAGGGGTTGAAGGCCCAGCAAAACCCTCAAGCCCTCCGCAAGTGAGGAAGGCCCAACTGATCTGGCTCTGGATCGCCTCCTACGTCCGGGCGTCCTCAAAGGCAGGATGCTGGAATGAGAGTGCCAAGGCGATGAAGATTCAGAAGAGGCCGGAAGGGTTTGAGGGTTCAGGCTCGTTTTGTTTTTTTGGGTTCAGGGCTTAGGGGTTTGGAGGTTTTGCGGGACTTGACAAGGTTAAAACTGAGTTGCGAGCACCCTTGCTTCAGGTATTCCAGCGTGTTGGACTTGTTGTCCAGGCTACCCTGAACCCTAAACCCTAAACCCTAACCCCCAACCCCTGAACCAAGATGTAGGTTTTGTGCGAATAGACTAGCTGACTAAGCCTCACCTACACTTCTTATCCTGACTTATACAACTGTTAATAGTTGTTGTAGCAAGTACTAGCCCTTTAAACAAATTTAACAGCATTTGTTGTAACAATTAAACAATTGTTATAGCAATTGTTGTAGCAATTAAACAATTGTTGAAACAAAAACGACAATTGTTGCAACAATTCAAGCAAGTTCATCAACAATTGTCGTGCGTATGAAACAATTTCCGTCGTGTGTTGGTACCCTCCCCCCCCCCCTCCCCCGGCATCGCAGGGCTTCTAAAAGCACCGCACCCTAAACCCTGAGACCTAAACCCTGAGACCTAAACCCTAAACCCTAAACCCTAAACCCTAAAACCTAAACCCTAAACATAAAGTCAATCCATGCCGCTTGCAGAACAGTCAAACAGCTATAATAGGGGCTCTGGATGGAGGGAACCCTAAACCCTAAACCCTAGACCCTAAACCCTAAACCCTAAACCCTAAACCCTAAACCCTAAACCCTAAACCCTAAACCCTAAACCCTAAACCCTAAACCCTAAACCCTAAACCCTAAACCCTAAACTGTTGGGGGGGGGAATGCTATTGGCTTGTCCCTTCGCAGGTGTTGCATCGGGCGTTTCGCAGTGTCGGCGATTCGGACACAGCTGGGAACGCAGCTCCCGCACTCTTCTGAACAATTAGGGGGGCTCAAGCAGTATAGGGTTAGGGTTAGGGTTTAGGGTTTAGGGTGTCTCAATGAGTGGGCGCGCTGGTGCTGAAAGCACCCAGGCGCGCGCCCCGACTTGCATAAGCCCACCCCCGCTGGCGCTCCACCCTCGCCTTAACCTTTACGGGTTTAGGGTTCTTTTTGAACTCTGATCGTGCTTTTGTTATTTTTCTCTTGTCCATTGGCTGGGTTAAAAGCTCGGCATCGATGCAGATCAACTACCCTGAAGTTGCAGCCCTTAGGCATTGCAAGGGAGATATCTATCAATCGAGGGCTGCTGGAGGTTTGGGCTTGGGGCTGGCTGCCGCCTTCGCCCTCGGCGATGCTGCGTGCTGGGCGGGGGTTTGGAAAACTTGCTTGGAAGGGCGTGAAATCAAAGGTTTGGGCTTTCGCCATTTCTAATGTTGGGCTTAGATGTCCATCATTCGAGGGCTTCTGGGAGGGCCAAAAAGTCAAAGGTTTGGGATTGGGTTGGCTGCCGCCTTCGTCCTTGGTGATGCTGCGTCTTGCTTGACCCCCTCATTTGGGGTGTTTTTGGCTGGAATCAGTGAAGGCTCGGTTTTGAGCAAAAATGCAGAAAACGAGAGCCCACCCCCGTCGCTTGAGTACTAAAAAATCGCATTTTTAACTGGGGCCCGGGCCGATGCTGGGGTCCCCCCTCATTGGGGTTTTTTTGGGGGCAAACTTTCCCCTTCAAGGGGGGTCGGAGTTTTGAGCAAGCGGGGTCTCCCAACACTGAATTGCTTCCAAAATAAGAAAAGGTCGCCGGGGTCCGGTGACCCTTTAGAAAAGCTCTTGAAGAGGCCTCCCAGCGGGGCCTCCCAGGCAGGGGCTTCCAGGCAGGGGAGGGGCCCTGTCAGGCAGGGGCCTCCCAGGCAGGGGTCTTAGGCAGGGGCCGCCAAGGCAGGGGCCTCCCAGACAGGACCCAGACAGGGCCCAGGCAGGGCCTCCCAGAAGGAAGGGGCCCACTTCGGGCCTCCCAGGACCCTCCCAGGCAGGGGCCTCCAGAGCGGGCCTTCCAGGCAGCCTCTCAGGCCAATACGAGGAACATGGCTGGGCTGCCTGCCTGGACAGGCTCTGGGTTCCTCTGGTCCACGAAAAACGACCGCGGCTGGAGGTGGGGCTCCTCTGGGAGGGGCCCTGAGAGACCTCACAAAAGGAGGTTGCTGCGTTTTGCCTGAAGGTTTGGGGTATCTCATTCTAGGGCGACTTGACGGGTTTCTCGCCAGCGACCTGCCGGGTCCACCGCGCAGCCCGCAGCTGCCTGCGGGACTGGAGCTCCGTTGCCCGCCGGAGGGCTTCTGGCTCCGGAGCTACCTCGCCTGCCGGCTTCGGTGCGTTCGCCCTGCTCGACGGCCCCGGGCTCACTCAGTTTAGGGTTTAGGGTTCAGGGTAGATCGCATAGCTCTCCCTGTGCGCACCGCGCATTTGTAGGGTCTCGGCAATTTGGCCCGTTGCCTCCCAAGAGCATGATGCCACGGGACTAAAGGAGGTCTACTTAGGTATAAAGGGGGCTATATAAGGCTTATATAGGGGTTATAGAGGGGAATAAGATTAAGGGTCTCTTGTAGGGGTCCCTCCTCATACCCTAACTAAACCCTAAACCCTAAACCCTAAACCCTTGATGATGCCAAGGTACACATACGTGCAGCTGCCGCTCGGCTAAGACATCCCAGAGGCTGCTTCAGCAAACCAGAACCTCCTGGAGCTCAGGAATTAGGGTTTAGGATTTAGGGTTTAGGGTCTAGTGTTTAGCTCTGGTATGGACACAATTCCATTCAGCCGCTGACTCGTAAAGCAATAGAGCTGCTGAGTGAATATCCTCCGTCACAACTATATCATGAACAGGAACCGTTTCTTGAACGCCCTGCCGCATCCTCCCGTGCATTGTTAACTGAGAACCCATAGCCGGTAGAAGGACAGCTGAGACAAATTGACGACAAAGAAGACAACATGATGCAACTAAAGACTAGAACTGGTCCACGCGCGCACTATCCTCAAAACACGCCCCTAAGCCCTTCAAACCCTCTGAACCCCAAACGCCCTCGAACTCCTAGCTCAACTCCTGACTCCGCTTTTAAGGTTTTGGGCTTTGGGGTTTAGGCTTTATGTAAAGCCCAAACCCTAAATCCTAAACCCTAAACCCTAAACCTTTTAGGGTTGAAAGGCGTCGGGTTGCTTCAGCGAAGTCTCCCCAACCCGAAGCACCAAACCCTAAACCCCCACACCCCGAAACCTGAAAAGCCTTAAAGCATCTGAGCCCCACGCCAACCTGAGCCAGGGTATACGTAGGGTTCAGAGTCACGGGTGGATTCAGGATTTTGGGAGTTCGGGACATGAATTCGGGTTTGTGGGTTATTTTGGCGATTGGGTTTAGGGTTTAGGGTTTAGGGTTTAAGGTTTAGGGTTTAGGGTTTAGGGTTTAGGGTTTAGGGCTGGAAGGATCTCCCTGATGGTCCAGTGCAGCCACGCGATCATGGGCTTGGGCTGCGGCTACACAGGCAAGGGTTTAGGGTTTAGGGTTTTAGGGTTTGGGGTTTAGGGTTTGGGGTATAGGGTTTAGGGTTTGGGGTGCCCCCAACCTCTGCCAGCCCCAATACCAGCCTTGGAAATTCTATAAACCCCACACCCCGAACCCTAAATCGCAACACTCTAAACCCAAAAACCCCAAACCCGAAACCTCAAACCCAAAACCCCATACCCCATACCCCAAACCCTAAACCCTAAACCCTAAACCCTAAACCCCAAACCCCACACCTCCCGCTCCGGGTCCCAGGCGCCGCTGCGTTCGTACTGGGCCACTACGCGCTGCTGGTGGCGCAGCGCCTGGGATGCATCATTAGAGTTGAGGGTTTAGGGTTTAGGGTTAGGTGAAGGGTTTATGGGGATTCGGGTTGGGGTTTAGGGCTTAGGGTTTTGGGGGTTTTGGGCGTCGGCTAGCACGGCTTGGGGGGTTTGGGGTTGCCATCGACATGCTTGAAGCATCTGGGTTCGATTATTTAGGGCCTAGGGTATTCTGACTGGGGGCCTTTCATGGGACCCGGTGAACCCTTTCGGCCCTTGACCTTCGAGCATCTCAACCTATAACCCCTCAACCCCACTGTTGGAGTTAGGGTTTAGGGTTTAGGGTTTAGGGTTCAGGGCTTAGGGTTTAGGGTTTAGAGTTTAGGGTTTAGGGTTTAGTGTTCAGGGCTACTAAGCGACCTTAGCGCACTCTTCCATCGACGCAAGCAGGATCGCTCAGACGGTTATCGTGCCAGCGACCTTCCAGTCCCTGTTGGACGTTTGCGTCTACGTGAGTGACCCGCGCCCAGCCGGCATCTTCTTCTTGGTAGCCCAGTGGTACCCTAAACCCTAAACCCTAAACCCTATACCCTAAACCCCTTGTAAAGTATCCAACAAAAAACCAACAAAAACTAGAAGAGGGATGGCCCGAAAGCATCGATTTGCCGTGCGTTGACTCCATGCAGTTGACTCTTTGCAGCCGAAGTGTATGCACTTGGACAAATGTATGCACTGACATGGTTGCATAGTCACTTGCACACTGCACTTGTCTGATTTGCGATGGTCTTGGAACCAGCGAATTCGGGGACCATGGTATACTTGCGATGCTTTTGGAACCAGCGAATTCGGGGACCATGGTTTTCGCGATCATGGTTTTTGCGATGGTTTTGGAAACAGCGATTTCGGGGACCGTGGTATTTGCGATGCTTTTGGAAACAGCGAATTCGGGGGACCATGGTATTTGCGAAGGTTTTGGAACCAGCGAATTCGGGGACCATGGTATTTGCGATGGTTTTGGAAGCAGAGAATTCGGGGACCATGGTTTTCGCGATGGTTTTTGGAACCAGCGAACTCGGGGACCATGGTATTTGCGATGGTTTTGGAACCAGCGAACTCGGGGACCAGGGTATTTGCGATGGTTTTGGAACCACGATATTTACGAGGTTTTCGAGGCCCCGGAAGTCGAGTCCCATGATATTTGCGAGGTTTTCGAGGAATTCGAGTCCCACGATATTTGCGAGGTTTTCGAGGCCCCGGAATTCGAGTCCCACGACATTTGCAAGGGTTTCGAGGAGAATTCGAGTCCCGCGATATTTGCGATGGTTTATTTGCGATGGTTTCGACACGCAAGCTCCGGGTGTCCGCGGCGGGAATGCTATCAAGTATGTCCGGAATTCCGCTTCCATGCTATTTGCGGTGTTTTCAAGCGCCCAGATGTCCGTTACCATGCTATTTGCAGTGTTTTCAAGCGCCCAGACGTCCGTTACCATGCTATTTGCGGCGTTTTCATGCGCCCAGATGTTCGTTACCATGCTATTTGCGGTGTTTTCAAGCGCCCAGATGACCGTTACCGTGCTATTTGCACAGTGTTTTCAAGCGCACAGATGTCCGTTGCCATGCTATTTGCGGCGTTTTCATGCGCCCAGATGTCCGTTACCGTGCTATTTGCGGTGTTTTCAAGCGCCCAGATGTCCGTTACCGTGCTATTTGCGGTGTTTTCACGCGGCCAGATGTCCGTTACCATGCTATTTGCGGTGTTTTCAAGCGGCCAGATGTCCGTTACCGTGCTATTTGCGGTGTTTTCAGACGCCCAGGGCGTCCGCGGCGTACTATACGTCTGTACTACAAAAAGTCGACTTTCCAGCCACGGAAGCTCCGCGTGTGCGCGGCGTACTACGTGAGTACTACAAAAAGTCGACTTTCCAGCCACGGAAGCTCCGGGCGTCCCCGGCGTACTATTATACGTCTGTACTACAAACGTCGACTTTCCAGCCACGGAAGCTCCGGGCGTCCCCTGCGTACTACGTTTGTACTACAAAACTCGATTTTCCAGCCACGGAAGTCCCCGGCGTACTACGTCTGTACTACACAAGTCGAAAAACAAACGCAAAAAACGCAAAAACACTACGGTTTTAGCACCGCGACCACGCGAAAACCCGCGGAGGGGTTACGTTTGCATGTCAAGAAACGCAAAAACACGAGGGTTTTGGCACCGCGCCAACGCCGAAACCCGCAGAGGGGTTACGTTTGTATGTCAAAAAACGCAAAAACACGACGGTTTTGGCGCCGCGCCAACGCCGAAACCCGCAGAGGGTTGTCTGCGGCCACGAAAAAAAGTACCAAAAACGACGGTTTTAGTGCCGCGACCCGGCGATCACCCGCAGAGGGTTGTCCGCGGACACAAAGAAACGTAAAAAAACGACGGTTTTAGCACCGCGACCAAGCCGAAACCCGCAGAGGGTTGTCCGCGCAAATCAAGAAACGTAAAAAAACGATGGTTTTAGCACCGCGACCACGCCGAAACCTGCAGAGGGTTGCAATCCCGATTGGCGATGTCAACCCAGCCCGCCGCCTTAGAAAGAGTAATTTTAATTTAGTTTTAATTTAGAAATCTAGGACTGGGTACGAAGGTCTACGAAATTCTACGTAAATCTCGTAATTTCTATTAACTTCTGCAATTCACTCTATGCGCTTCACGCTATGCACTTCACTCTATGCAATTCACTCTATGCAATTCACTCTATGCACTTCACTCTATGTACTTCACTCTATGCACTTCACTCTATGCACTTGACTCTATGCACTTGACTCTATGCACTTGACTCTATGCACTTCACTCTATGCACTTGACTCTATGCACTTCACTCTATGCACTTGACTCTATGCACTTCACTCTATGCACTTCACTCTATGCACTTCACTCTATGCACTTCACTCTATGCGCTTCACTCTATGCTCTTCACTCCATGCACTTCACTCTATGCGCTTCACTCTATGCCCTTCGCTCTATGCACTTCGCTCTATGCACTTCACTCTATGTACTTCACTCTATGGGGTCAGAGGGCTCCGCGCGGAAGAACCCTTCGCGATGCTTTCGGGAAAAATGCCCTTACTAGAATATGGTCACCGGGCTACTAGGTCGTCTTCGTAATCAGAAGGGACCCCTGGAATGGACCCTTCATCTTATTCCCTAGGTTATATGATGACCACCATATAACCCTTATGTTTTTAGCGTATTCCCTACATACTCAAGTAGCCGCCTAAGTCAGCCCTCGATAACCCCCAAAGTCACCAAGCCCTAGAAAAGCCTGAACCCTAAGCCATACACCCTAAACCCTAAACCCTAAACCCTAAACCCTAAACCCTAAACCCTAAACCCTAAACCCTAAACCCTAAACCCTAAACCCTAAACCCTAAACCCTAAACCCTAAACCCTAAACCCTAACCCCCCAAGGTATGGCAGCGACGTGATCGACTTCTCCTTCCTTTCCTACCACGTCGCCTTGGCCAAGACCTGCGAGTCGTTCCTCTCCCCCATACCCCCCGATCTCAAGGCCGGCCTGGTTGGAGGGGGTGGAGGACTCCGTTCAGAGGAGGAGGGCTTAGGGTTTAGGGTTTAGGGTTTAGGGCTTAGGGCTTAGGGTTTAGGGTTTGGTGTTTAGGGTTTGGTGTTTAGGGTTTAGGGTTTAGGGTCGAGGGTCTAGGGTCTAGGGGTTTGGGATCGGGTTTAAGGTTTCAAGCGTTGGGTTCTGGGTTAAGAGAGTACATTGGGTGTGCACTCCCAAATTCGGATCATAAAGGAGACCCTAAACCCTTTCAGGCCTTAGGCGTGGAGTGCCCAAGGAAAGGCTTCAGGGTCACAGGGTTTTGGGAAGGAAGGGTTCGGGCGCTCAGCTGTCATTGTTGGCATTCTAGCCTTGTGATGAATAAACCCTAAACCCTAAACCCTAAACCCTAACCCCTAAACCCTAAACCTTAAACCCTAAACCCTAAACCCTAAACCCTAAACCCACAAAAGTCTCCCCCCCCCCCCCCCCCCCCCTCGCTGCGCGAGGTGCCGGAGGAGAGCCCAAAGACAACGGCACCCTCCGAGCACTCCTGAGGGCTCTTTAGGGTTTAGGGTTTAGGGTTTAGGGTTTAGGGTTTAGGGTTTAGGGTTTAGGGTTTAGGGTTTAGGGTTTAGGGTCTCCACCTGTGGGATGGCGACGCTCGGTTTCAGGGGTTTGGCGGTTTAGGGGTTTGGGTTTTAGGGTTTAGGGTTTAGGGTTTAGGGCTAGGGTTTAGGGGGCTCAGGGCCCAGAGCCCCTGGAGGGATTCTACCGGATGCTTGGTCCGTCAACCTCGGCCCAGGGGTCGCCACAGGGTTTGGCTGGGGGTTTTGTGAGGGTTGTCGGGGTTCGGGGCTTCTGTTTTAGGGGTTTAGGGTTGAGGGTTTCAGGATGTTTTCGGGTTTTAAAAGGATGTTTTAGGTTTTAGGTCTGAGGGTTGAGGGTTTTAGGATGTGTTAGGGTTTTAGGGCGCAGGGTGCTCTTAGACCGTTGCTTGCCTTGCCGGCTGTCGAAGGCGGCGTGGAGGGAAGCACCAAGCGTGGGCTGGCCCACGGGCCTTCGATGCCTGTATCGAAGAAGGAGCCACAAGTGCTCGGAGCTTTGGGCGCTGATGGTTAGAGAAAGGGCGTTGCCGCCTAAGGTAGAGGAGGAAGTGCTTGGGGTGCACGGTGTAGGTTCTTAGGGTCCGGGTGAGGACTTCTCGAACGGGCTTGCCGCTTGCCCCTGTGACTTTTCGAAACCCGCCTCTCATTTCTAAAGTCTGCGGGAGCCAGGTTCAGGGAGGTTGGCAGAGACTGCAGCTTGCTCGCCACGCTTTGACAATGCGTTGCTGTGTATCTCCGAGCACGTGGCTCTTTGGATTTTTGCGCTCCTAAACCCTAAACCCTAAACCCTAAACCCTAAACCCTAAACCCTAAACCCGAAGCCCCTAATCTTGTGGGGGTTGTGTGGGCTGTGTGCTGAGGCTGCTGTCGCAACGTCTTGGATGGCTGCATCCCAGACGGCCAGGCCTGGTGTTTGCCCGGTTCTCTACAGCTGTCCCCCCAGACTGAAGCGCTGCAACCACAATGCCCTGAAAGCCCTAAACCCGAAACCTGAACCCTAAACCCTAAACCCTAAACCCTAAACCCTAAACCCTAAACCCTAAACCCTAAACCCTAAACCCTAAACCCTAAACCCTAAACCCTAAACCCTAAACCCTAAACCCTAAACCCTAAACCCTAAACCCTAACCCCTAACCCCTAAACCCTAAACCCTAAACCCTAAACCCCAAACCCCAAACCCTAAACCCCAAACCCTACACCCCAAACCCCAAACCCCAAACCCTAAACCCTAAACCCTAAACCCTAAACCCTAAACCCTAAACCCTAAACCCTAAACCCTAAACCCCAGTCCTGTCGAGCCTGAGCCGGCTTGAAGGATGGCTTTGTGAGTCGATGTTCAGGTTTAGGGTTTGGGGTTTGGGGTTTGGGGTTTAGGGTTTATAGGGTTTAGGGTTTAGGGTTTAGGTTTTGGGGTTTCGGGTTTAGGGTTTAGGGTCAAGGTGTCTTCAGTTTTCCAGCATCTTGTCATTAAGGGCTCCCCATTTGAGGCGCTTTGCTTTGCTTGAACGTCGGCTGCTGGGGCTTCAGGCTTCGGGAGCCCGAAACCCGAAACCCGAAACCCGAAACCCTAAACCCTAAACCCTAAACCCTAAACCCTAAACCCGAAGCCCGAAACCCGAAACCCGAGTTCCAAAAATCCGCGGCAAGGCAAGTCCTCGGCCGGCGAGCCTATTCCTTCACAGAGGAGGAGCTCTGGCTCTGGGGTGCCATATGGGAGTTGACGAAACTAGGGGTACCGATTTTGGGGGTGCCAAGGATAAGGATTCTAGTATCCGGGGTATGCCAGGGGGATCCTATTCTTGAGAAATGCCCGTATGGGAGTTTACGAGAGTAAGGGACCCCTGAATTCGACCCCCAAAGAATAGGATTCCCTTCTACTAAGGAACTAAGGACCCCAATAAGGTACCCCTAATTTCGGAATCCCTCATATCCTGAACATGGGGCAGGGGCAGGGGGGGGGGGGGGAGGGTGTTGATTAAGGGTTACGATTTTAGGATTGTAGGGTTTTAGGGTTGTAAGGTTGTAGGGTGTTAGGGTTGTAGGGTTTTATGGTTTTAGGGCTATAGGGTTTCAGGGTGTTAGGGTGTTAGGGTTTTAGGCCTTTGGGTTTGGCGCTGGAGGAGCGAGCCCCTTTTCACAAAGGGGAGTTCGTACTTAACATGGGGGCCTACCTTCTGGTCAATTCGGTGACAGGTATTTTGCACAACTAACATAAGGGTAGTGATGTAAATCGGTTGTGCCCGTTTGTGGTCTGCCGAAAACATCAGGCTCCTTTTTTTTTCAGGGGCCCTTCTAGTAAGGATAGTAGTAGTATCTAATTGAGGTACATGTATATCAGGGGTGGCCCACTGATATTTTGGGAACTGCCTTGAAAAAACCAGTTTGGGGTTGCGATGGGGCTCTTCGCAGTTGAGTGGTTAAAGGTGAGGGCTTAGGGTTTCGGAAAGTTGGTTCAGATCTTGGACCTGAATGCTGAGCCTACGGTCCCCAACTCAGCCCCGCCAAGCTTCGCAGACATTCCGAACTGCGAGGACACTGGAAATTCACAACCACCCCCAAACGCATGAAGCCCGACACCATCTCAAGCCCATCCCCAGCCCTAAACCCTAAACCCTAAACCCTAAACCCTAAACCCTAAACCCTAAACCCTAAACCCTAAACCCTAAACCCTAAACCCTAAACCCTAAACCCTAAACCCTAAACCCTAAACCCTAAACCCTATACGGGGGCAACCGAAAGGGAAAGGAAACCAACCCTAACAGTCGCCAGAGATTTCACCCTGAACCAACCAGCAAACAACAGGAACTCAAAACTTCTTTTTGCTACCAGGCGCATGGCCCAGTCTTGAGCCATGAATGTTACCAGGTACATTGACCCTTCAACTTCCAACACCAACTCTTTTCTACAATACCAACTGCAGCTCCGCACTCCCCCTGTCCTAGGATTTCCTAGGACACACATTGGAGGTGCAGACCTTTGGCCAAAAACTGCCATTAGGGCAGCAGCCAGCTGCTTGAAATGCACATTATGGTTTTACGTCATCCAGGACGAATTTATAGCACATTGGCTAAACCCATTAACCACAGAGAATCCTTTTTTCACCATGATTCTCTTGTCATTGAAGACTCTTCGGTCTTCTTCACCACGAACCGTGGTCCTCGCTACGCAAAAAGCTACTGACTTCTACTATCAGGGATTTCCATACCCTTAATAGTAACCACCATATCTTCAGCACATTGGCTGTTCCAGCACACCTGTCTTCAGAAAGATAAAAACCATTCCCTCATCAACACCATCCAGTCACTTCTTCTTCCGATGGGTATCGATACTTAGGTGGAGTCGCAGCAGAAGATACTCCAGGTCCGACACTGTAAGAACAGGATCCTGCACGCACCTTTGAATTGAGGATACCAATCCCTCTCTCTTTGCGTCCTCAATCGCTTGGCAAGATTGACCCAGCTCTGCATCCACAGTGGTAGACGCTTGCGCATCCACATCAGAGGAACGATCCTTTTCCTCAGGACCTTTCACCACTACCACCTCTTCCTTCTTGGGACTTTGACTTTTCTCCTTCTTCTTCGTCTTCCCCACGACGATTGGCTTTGTGCGCATCGAAGAGGCCTTTTCCCCTGCAGAAACCACCGCATTGGATGATGATCCACCCTTATCAATGTTCGCCGGCATCTTCTTCGGCTTTGGAACCATGAGAGTATACGGATCCTCGCTAGCTGCAGTTTTCCTCTTCTTTTTGACCTTTTTCACCTCTTCCTCAACGGCAACATCCGTCTCCGAAGTTCCAACCACCTCCTTTTCGGCAGGAATATCCTTGCTGGACTCCCTTTCTAGGGACCTCTTTTTTTTTCCCCTTCTGGGATCTCTCTCTTCTTCAACATTGGCTCGCTCGAACCATATCCTCAGGTCATTGACCCATTCTTCCACCTCCGCCAGCGAAACCTCATACGACTTCACTATTTCGTGAAGTTCCAGTGTAGACAACATACCAGTGGTCCATGAACACCATTCTCTATCCATCTGTTCAGCATCTCCATTGAACTTCAGGAGTTTGAACACTGGGTCCGCCTCTGCCCGAGCCAAATCTGACTTGCCATTGGACATAAATGAAATCGCCTCCATCAGCAGTTCTACCATTTTGGTATCATCGTCATAAACCATGAAATCCTCCTCGTCTTCATCGAACCGTTCAGGAGAGATCTCCTTTTCTCCACCTTTTGTACCAGAACTTCTCCTTGGACCATCCCTTGGGGGCGTCCTTGGAGACCTTGGCCTCTGTTCATCCAGCGGATCACCATGCTCAAAGACACACTTGTCCCCATAACGGCACTTCCCAGACTGAGCAAACTGGATACACCTTACACCAGTTGCATCATGTGAGAACTTACAGTCCTTTCCAGAGAAGCAGTGTCTCCCAGCCACATAGTACTTGCACCAATACGATTGTAGCACCGCATCATCTTCTGAATGGATGAATTTGCAGTGTTCACCAAATTTGCAGCGATCTTTTCCCCTGCTGAACCAATAGCAAAAGCCTTTCTTCCTCTTTTCCAAACGCTCCGCCTCATACCGGTCCATAGGGCGATTCTGCTCTACATGAACATTGCCACGTACCTGAGAACTGCTCCCTTCACCCAAGGTGCTATCAGTATTTGATGCTTTGAGTACAGCTGGAAAACCTGGCCTTGGTCCTACCACCTTCATGATTGGTTTTCCGCCAGCTCCTGAGCCATGCTGAGAAGATCCAAAAACATTGAATATTTTCACGAAGGCCTTTCTAGTGCCGATCTTCTGCACCCTTTTGATTGGATGTTTCATTGCTCCAACCTTGCATCCAGATACATCCGAACGACACAACCTCCTATACCCAGCTCTATATCCCTTTTTCCAAAGAGCCATAAGAATTCTAGAGGCAGTAACATTCTCCACCTCTACCT